CCTCTTGGGGGTGGGACACAATTATAAGAGGAACTTTACCTAAAAAATGCAAGCAGCATAAGCTGGTTCTTTGTACCCTCCATGAATCCCCAACAATGGCAAATAATAATAATTATAAATTACAAAAGAATTTGAACTTTGAAGAACACTTATATTCTCTAAATTATCACGTAAGTTAAGATAATGCTGCACATAACATGATCCTAAAGTTGTGCGTGTAAAATTAATCAGTGAAACTCTATAGACCAATTTCATTAAATAGTTCTGGAAGACAAAGAGCTAATTTGAAAATAATGATGATTTGGAATCCCATCATGCAATAAGATTCTTCAAAAATACATGCAAATGTAATTATCCCTGGAAATCATCTCTTGAAATGGGTAAAAATGCCCACAATGTGTCATAAATGTCATACTTCTGCTCTGAGCAGTGACTCAGAGTCACGCTGCTTACCACAGCTTACATTTCTCACAAAGGCTGAGAGTATCCTCACAGCAGTCCAGTCACTTATTGTCTACAATACTGGATATAAAATTGTAACTTCCAATTATTTGGTGGGATAAAGTATGAAAGCATTGCAAAGAAGTGACAGAGAAAAGAGATGCAAAATGCTCTCCCCCTGAAACCACTTCCCTAGGTGACCTCTGAAATGGAGATGGTACAACATTTTAGCCCACCCAGTAACATGGGTGACGGAACCATCGACCCAGAAGCTAAAGCCATGGCCTGGAAAAGCAACTACATTGCAAAAAAGTCAGTATATTAAAAAGAAAGAACACACACAGACACACACACACACATATCCCAATCTTGCCCATCCTATGGCCTTCAGAAAAATAAAAAATGTACACACTGAAAACATTCCCTCAAAACAAACAAAAAAACATTCCATTAAACTATACTCTGTGAATGTGACAACTAATCTGGAAGGCCACATTTATCCTACAATTACCAAAAGAGAAAGCAGATGAGCGGCAACCACAGCATGGACATCTTGTGACACACTGCCACCTCCACCTATTTTCCCAAGCTTCTTCTAGCTGTTTGCACCAATTCCATATTTTAAATGCCTGAAATAGTCCTTGGTATTTTTCCAGGCTCTTCACATTCTCCTTTTATTGCCAGATTATTCTTCCTTAAACATCTCTCCCGAAGATTTAGAGAGGAGACCAAGATTGTAGAGGCATTATTGAGGGAAGGAGCTGTCAGTGCTTCCCTCCTCCAAATCGGGTGTCCTAGCAGAGCCTTTGCAGAATCTGTGGTCTGAATATAACCTGAGTAGGAGTCCTCTGCCTAAGGAGAACCTTAAATCACAGTTCAATCTAGCTGAATTTTCAGAATGACTTACAGCTTTCAATTTCCAAGGTGCAGTTCTGTTCATCCAGTGGGTACCGCCTTAGATCCATCATGCAGGCAGCTGTGGTTGTAATTCTGCAGAAGAAATAGCAGTAATATGTGTTATTAGTATATCTATAATTGGAGTTGGAAATTTAAATCCAACTATCAAAGTGGAGACTGATTTAGCCGAAGCTCTAATGAAAAATACTGACACCACTTTGCCTAAGCATTTTCCTTTATGGGTATCATGCTGATTTATAAAATGAAGAGACTGGACTAAATCAGTATTTCCCACAGTGTGGTCCATTAATTACTTGTACCAAAATCACCTGAGAGCGTTCAACAGGCTTCCAGAATGCCTGGAGGTGAAACAAGGTGTTTCCAGTTCTGTATCTTACAAGCATTGGTGGTGCCTGATGAGCAAAGAATCCCCACCCCTTCTCACCTTGGTTTTCTTGTTTCTTTCTCAAGACACTACCAACCTTGACCCATCATTTTCACCTTCCTATCCATAGTACCGTACTCTACCAGTGTGCTCATTCAACATAAAAGCAGCCTTTCATCTACCACCTGATTTGTTATGTCCCAAGTAATCTGATATTCTCATGACCCCTTAGAGCAGGGGTCCTCAAACTTTTTAAATAGGGGGGCCAATTCACTGTCCCTCTGACCATTGGAAGGCCGGACTGCAGGGCCCGGGATGAGTTGGCTACTAAGCAGGACAGTCAGGGGCAGCAAAAACACCCGGCGAGCTGGATAAACATCCTCAGTGGGCCGCAGTTTGAGGACGCCTGCCTTGGTATTTCTTCTTAGGGTCTGGCAGAGTTATTTGAAACTCTTAGTACCCTTATTATTTTATCACAGGAAAATAAATATGTTCCTGCAATTTATGATTTTTTGCCATTATTTTTCTCTAATCTGTCTGTGGAATACCTAGAATCCCCCCCCCAAAAAAAACCCCTAAAAAACAAAAAAACATAGAGTTCCTGAAGATTTATCAACTTGTGTTTTTAGATCAATGAGACAGCATAAGATCATGAAATAACACAAAGTTTTAGAACACCATGGATGTTGGCATGAACTCCAACGTTATGTAATGAATCTAACAGAGGGCCTGGCACATAGTAAACCCTTTAAAAATTCACATCTGCTGCAGGACACTAAGTGTGGGAGTTAATATTGAATTTGGCCAACGTAGGCTTAATCTACTGTGAGGGGTTATTATGAGCTCTAGCTTGGGAGAAACTATCTACAACTAGACCTTTTTTATTACAAAAAAAATTTAGACAAGGCTTAAGCCAGTAATCCAGTGGATGGACTCTGCAGAATTTCTCAGGCAGGTGTGAGAGTCTTGCCCCTTAGTTGCAGAATGAAAAGATGTGATTAATTTAATGTAAACCATTCTTGCCTCCTGATTTTGATTCCTCTTTCATTAAGATTTGTGAATTGTTGATTTTTGTTTTTCTTTTTCTATGGCTCATGTTGCTGATTCCGATTCCTTTATTTTTTTTCACCGAGTGTCGCTGGCTACCCTGCATCAAGTCCTGAACACCTGCACTGCCTCCCTCAGAGTCTGTGTTCCCACGACTCCTGCGTCACCGTGGCAGCTCAGTCCCCCAGCCTCTCCAGGTGCCTCCCTACTCTCCAAGATCAACACAACAGAGAGTCTTTTAAAAACATAAATTAGACTTCATCTTAGTGACAAAAGTCTAAAGTCCTGGTTATGGCTTACTATGCCTTAAACATCCTAAATATTAAACACTAAATATTATAACTCCTTTTTTTTTCCTTCTTGGAATCATCTCATACCATATTCCCACACTGTGTCGTCACATTTGTTCCCTCTACCCAGGACATCTGTCTCCCTGATCTTCACAGAGACCCCTCTCCTTCTGATTTTTCACCTCAAAAGTCCTCCATGCAATCCACCCAAAGCATTTGCCTTTACTCAGGCCTCCTTGTTAGCTTTCTGTTTATTTCTCTCAAGCAATTATCACAACCTGAATTCATCTTGCTTAATTTTTAAAGAACTATAGTATTTCTCTCAACAAATTTTAAGCTGTTAAGAGCACAGATGTTCTTCTATTCAGTGTTAAGTCGCCCAATACATATCTATTGAATGAATAAATATGTGAATTAATAAAGACGCTAACAGTTGGCTTTACTTGGCATAAGTTTTTCCATTTTGAGGATTATTTTAAAGCCTTACTTCTCTTCTTTTTTATCAATTTACAATTATAATGTGTCTTAAGTTGTAAAGGTTCTTTTCGTATTTTTAACAATGGTAAATTTGAATCCATTTAATTAACATTACATAAACAGTACCCGAGTTTATCTTATCGCATTGTTTGTTTCTGCTTTTATTGAGACTTACCTAATTCCTATATTCCATAAATTCTATTAAAGCTAGCATTCACATTTTACTCTTTCCTCAGGTTTCAAAAATGACAACTTATTTTTAACTCTGTGACAGTCGGCTGCATATTTCACTGGTCCCCTGGTTTTTTTTTTAATTTCTGTGTGTGACTTTATATGTAGATACAATCAGAACTGTCACCAACATACAGAGGTCACTACTCTACAGAAGAGAAATTGTTCATGGAAATAGGATTAGGTGTATGAAAGATACACCAAACACAAATGCTATTTATGTTAAATGGCAGAAATAATCCCTGTCTTGAGAAACTAGAGAAAATTAACTTCATCAGGTAGGAGGAATACAAAAGATATGAAAGTTGCAAGGGCACACATACAACAAGAAAGGAGAGAGCCAAGGACAGAAAGCCTGACCGTGTAAACCAGTGAAGTTTGCAATTGCTACAAATTGTGATTCATACTTTCTTCTGACACCTATTCATGGCAACTAACATTGGTGGACTACTGCTGCAAACACAAAATAATAATAATAATAATTTGACTAATGCTATTGCATGAGCAACAAGTTATGCTCATATTTTAAAAATAAAGTAAAAGAAAGTGGTTTTCTTACAACAATATTCTTATGGAGGCCAGCACTTTACTGGATTTTTAAAAATGGTATAATTCATAAAGCTAAAAACATATTAGAAATGTCTGTCAATATTTATACAACATCTCTAAGTGTCTCTTACTGGATCAAAACAGGAACTCTGGAGCCAAAAGAATCCATTGGAAATCCGGCTCATAGAGACAAGGATGAGTGACCTTAAACTTGTCACCTGCATTCTCTGACACTTGGTTGCCCCATCTTGAAAATTTTAATTAAAAACTTTCCATCCTAGTTCATTGTGAGATTAAATAAGGAAAAAATTGTAACTTATAAAATGCTCTATAACTTTTGTTCTAGTTATTACTCCATGTTATTGAGCAAATACAGTGATAACTCATTTAATCAGAGGATATCTAGTAGTCTGAGTATGTTTATACACTCGAAGTGTTTATATACACGGAGACATATACACACATATACACACACACTTATAAGCAAAGCAGAGATGAATGTACATAGCTCCCCAATATGTAAATGTGCAAAATAAATAATTACTCCATAATTGTCTATGGAGCTCTGTAAAACTAAGTATAGATTTATAACAGACCTGCATCTATTTAAGGTGCTTTATAAGATCAGGGACCAGATCTGTTTTTGCCACAGTTGTATCTCTAGCCATTTGCTAAGTATCTGGTACTTAGCTAGGTTGCTAAGTCACCAACACAGGTTAAAATAGTAACAACAGTAAATAAAACAAAGAGACGAATCCATAAGCATTTTCAAAATGAAGATTTTGACACGATTCCCTATATTAAGTTCCTGATTTGACTAGGTAAAAATTCTCTAATCAATGCATTTGTTCTTTTTTCGTTTTCAGATTAACATGAGGGTACAAATATTAGGCTACAATGTTAATGTTGTTAGGTAAGGTCCCTGCTGTAGTTGTGCCATATACCCTTACACTGTGCTCATTAGGTGAGAGTGCACCAATCCCCTCTCTGCTTCTCTCTTCTGCCTCCCTCCTCCGAGCTTGAGATAAATTGTGTTTTTCTCATGTATGGGCATGTATTAGTGTGCAAATCAAACCCACCCCCTGATATCACCTAACCCCAGTGAGAATAGCCAACATCACAAAGTCCCACCCAAAGCTGCAGGTGCTGGCATGGATGTGGAGAGGGGAACACTTTTACACTGTTGATGGAATTGCAAACTAATACAGCTTCTTTGAAAAGAAGTTTGGAGAATCCTCACAGATTTCAAAATAGATCTGCAATTTGATTCTGCAATCCCATTACTAGGTATCTACACAGAAGGAAAAAGAAATCATTTATCATAAGAACTTTTGCCCAAGATTATGTATCATAGCTCCATTTACAATCACCAAGATGTGGAATCAAACCAAGTATCCATCAAACCATGAATGGATTAATAAATGTGTATACCCTGGAATGCTATTCAGCCATAAAAATATGGAGACTTTACATCTTTTGTATTAACCTAGAATTGGAGAATATTCTCTTTAGCAAAGTATCACAAGAATGGAAAAGCAAGTATCCAATGTATTTGATAGTAACATGAAGCCAGTAGATGAACTAATTCTCAAATAAATTTGAAATTTAAAATTGTTCTTATAAAACAAGCAATCCTGAATGAGTCTTGCTCAGAAAACCACAGGGATAAGCATCTAAATATGTTCTTTGAGACTTTTAGACTTATAAGAGGGCTGAGTTTCTATAGGAATAAGCCAACGCAACAAGCATACTATGAGATTTTCATCAAAATGCCTTTCTGAATCATGCCAAACACCATTAATTGGCCTTAAATAAATCAACACCACTATTAGAAGTCTTTGAAGTGAGGTTAGTAACCCATTGTGCAGGTATCTTGATTAATTTTTAAGACTATTATGAAATATACAGAGACATCACTGTCTTCAGTCAAAAGAAGCAGCCCATCAGGCCTCCAGAATGGGTCTTATTTAGCTATAGCAAATCATCTATAGTTTAAAGTGGAAAATGTGCCCTCCTGCATGGGCACATTCTATTGCATGATGAAGTCTGCCTTGGGGATCTGCCAATAGTATGACTGGGCAAAAAGATCTTTGGGTAAACTTTTTTTACTTAGG